TTGTTGAGGAGTACATGGGAGCAACTAAACGTCAATATAAAAGAGGTATATAGGAAGAGGCTGGGAAGCAAAGTCCAGCTGAGCATTATCAGAGATGTGTGATCAGGGATGAAAAGGGTTATTTTTAGTTTAGTTTAGAAACAAGCTCAGCATTATTCTCTCCCATCAACAACCAAATGGACATTCTGCCCTACTTTCACTCAAAGCTTCACTCTCACACATAAAATCTTCCATGGACTCTCCTGCTTCTATGAGTTTGTTCTCAAACAAATCAGAAGATGTTGTTGCTCCCTCAACCTCTCACACATCTGTCTCTAGAAGTCAAATGAAAAAGCAACTAGTGAGAATGAATCTCAATAACCAAACAGGTCTTGATGGTGTCGGCTCCAGAGTCCTGAAGGCCTGTGCAGAGCAGCTCTGTGGGATTCTACAGCACCTCATCACCCTTAAGGCTGGTTAATGGTCAGAAACCAGGTCGTCTGAATGTTTCCCAGGTAACGCAGATGTGCCTCCGGCCCCTCCGCAGACACTGTGGTGCACTTCTCCAAAATTGTAGGTGACTGCAGACAGTGCCGCAGACAGGAGGCCTCTGATTGGTCAAATCTACATCCGCTCTACAATATATATCTCCTGTTTGGTACCTTACTGACTTGTTTTGTTTGTATAACTGCCATTGTGGAAAACGACTCGTGAAGATGGACCAGCTAGGAGAGCGAGGTACGCGAGAACGCTGGGACACGTTTTCCACCTGGATCCAGGGTCTTTTTCCCCCTAATGTCCCTCCGCTGTCGCACAAACCTACCCCCAATTCCTCATTGCCTCGCCGTATCTAGATCCACAGCTAGTTCATGATTGTCTCTCTTGCGTTGTGGCGTGGAATAACATAGCGCAGACCATGTTTCAATACTGGGCAAAAATCTAAAATATCTGCGACAAGATCACTGCGACACACTGCTGCACGAGGATAACCAGCACTTTACTCTGACCCAGGAGAAAGTTCCAGTGATGTGAAAGACCCCCTGCCTTGTCCATGTGCCAAAGAAGCCTCAAACCAACAGTCCTCAGTGACTATAGACCTGTTGTCCTAACAGCCAAAATCAAGTTCTAGACAGACTTCTGTTGGTTGACCTCAGCAAGCAAACAAGCAGCATCAGGACCCCCTGAAGTTCACTTATAGCTGTGGAGTTGATGATGCCATCATACACCTGCTTTTACAAACTCACTGTCATTTACTCACACAGCACTGTGAGTAACTTATTGATTTTTCCAGAACATTTAAAACAGTTCTTCAAGTCTTCAGTTGCCCCACCCCAACCTGTTTTTTTAGAAGGTCAGCTGCAGTGGCAACTTGAGAGACTGAGTCAGATAGTTGAAGATGTCATTGTACGACTGCTTCAACAAACCCACTGTCATTTAGAAAAGGCAGACAGCACTGTGTGGATCATGTTATTTAATTTCCCCAGTAGATTTCACATGATTCAGCCTGACTTTGTGAGAAACTCTCACAAAGATCAGCTGGATCAAAGACTACCAGACAAACAGACCCCAGCTTGTTAGACTGAAGGGCCAGCTGTCTTATCAAGTATTCAGCAGCACAGGAGCACCACAGGGGACGGTATTCGCTCAATTCCCTTTTACTCTGTTCACCTCTGACTTCCAGTGCCAGAAAGACTCCCGTCATCTGCAGGAATACTCAGATGACTCTGCAGCCATGCGTACAGAGAGCTGGTGAACTGCTTTGTGAAATGGTGTGGAAACAGTTATCTGATCCTGAATTGAAATAAAAACAAGGGAGATTATAGCAGATTTCAGAAGAAATAGGAACAAGTTGAATCCTGTTAACATCATGGGAGAAGCAAAATAAGCACCTTGGTGTTTACCTGGACAGCAAACCGGGAATACAAATGTGAAGCCGTCTACAAGAAGGAACACAGCAGATTGTACTTCCTAAGGAAGCTTAGGTTGGTTGCCTTTTGCAAAAAAGATGCTTTACATCAGTCTGTGGAGAGTGTGATCCTCTCCTCCATCATCTGCTGGGGTAACAGCATCACAGCAAATAACTTTCAACCTCAACAAGCATAAGAAAGGCTGGCTCTGATCCACTAATTCCTCTGGCACATCTGGAGATGATTCAAAAAGGAGAGTTGTTCATTAAGCAGGGAGGGATTTACCATTAGGCAATACTAGGCAGTTGCCTAGGGCCCCAAGTTCCTAGCCTGACGTAGTCCTACTCAATTCTAGTCAGAATATGAGTCTGATACTGCTCCATAGAGCTGTGACTATGGGGCGTGTTTCGAATGAACCAGGAAAAAAAGGCCTCTGCACTCAATTGGATAGATCTACAACCAATAAGAGCAACGAAGTGTGTGACGTATGTTAAGAGATGCATAGTTGTTGTCAACAAAAATATAAGCGTGCAGTTGCACGCCTAGAATAAGAAGATGAGCCTTGATCGCGTTTCTCTGTTCCTCTTTTAAAATTTATTTGCTGTCGATATCTTCTAGAACAGACCTAATAGCAGAATCTACTCACCTCAACTCCCCAGCGGCAGCCATTGTTGTTGTCACCCATGCGTGCTTTGGTGACGTGGCTGACTACGTTACTGTTGATCATCTGTCCATCATCGTATAAAGCCCGCCCTGACAATTTGATTGGATCCCCAGATATTGTGCTAGCATACTCGCGCTACTATTGAGCAATGCCAGACCGAACTTCCCGACCTCAAATGTTGTGGGCGGGACTAAGTTCGGAATGGCACCCAGGCTACCAAGTTCCTGGGAGACCCATAAAACTCTGTGTACATGTATAAGTAGTACAACTACTTCTTATTTCTGCACATTCATTTCTTAAGTTTAATCTTTTCACTAAAATGCCATCAGAATGCTTATAATATTAAGTGTGTCTCATCCCAATCCCTTCAGTGTCCACCATATTGCATCAGTCCATTTGCTGCACATGTTATGAAAGGTCCAAACAGACAGCAGCAAACCACTTGAAAACAAACTGTGCGAAGAGCAGTTTTGCCAACTTAGTGCTTTTGTCGCTATATTTAGAGACTAACACCAACACTAAACATCTAAAAGCAGCGATCTCTGCTCTCCAGAGCAAGTAGATTGGTAACCCCGCCTCCTGCTCTCCTCTATCTAGTCTGCTGTCATGATTCATGCAGCTATGATTTTATCTAAATGAAAAATGGAGAACAGCAAAGCAGATCATGGCTTGTCTACAGTGAAAAGAAGGACTGGGTTATTTACTTTTGCTGTCGTCCTTTTGAAAACACAGGAAGGAGCAATCAGCTAAGTCAGCTTAGTGCTTGGAAAAAAATCTTTCAATCCTTCTGAGACAGCATGAAAATTCAGCTAAGTACAAAATATAGAAAGGAAAACAACTAGAAAAGGGACAAGAAGAGAGGGACAAAACCTAGAACAAATAATGGATGTCTATTCTATTAAACTTTCTGTATCTGTATAATGGGTCTGTTTTATGTGTTGTCTTTTCACTTCAGAGGGCCCAAAATTTCCTAAATCCGCCCCTGGTCATAAGGGAACATTTTGGACAACAGTGAGCTTCCTCTTTAAACAACAGAGTGTCTTCAGTCAGAATGCTACAGAAGATCCCTCCTGCTCTCGGTTTTCCAATTATGCTGGTGAAGGTTATCAGTCATCCAGGCCAGACATTCCAAAAAAGTAAAAAAAAAAAAACATGCAACAATCCACTGGACTTTGTATCCAAGTTTGAAGACATTTCGCTTTCCATCCAGGAAGCTTTTTCAATTCAAAATGTCAAAAATAGCAAGAGTTTATAGAGTGGACCAAAAACAATGCCTTGTTTTGTCTTAGAAAACATGCTAATTGAATCGAACGAATGTTCTACCCCTTAGGGATGGGGGTCGTTTGGTGTCTCTGAAAGGGGTGCGTAGAGTTTGGAAACTGAGGCAGAAAAATTTCCTGCAAAAAAAAAAAAAGTTCAAATTTATTTTACGTCCTCGAACGGAGAGATAGGGCTCTGACTGAGGCATTTCAGTACATACATTTATACCTTACAAAAATGACAAACATACACTCCCCCAGGGGAACTAACCCACCCACTGCATAAAGAACTTTCTCACATTTGAAGGAAAAACACCTTCAATTCATTAAGGAAATTCCCTGTTAATATATCTTTCACTGTGCAGATAAATATTTAACAATGGTCTTCTGTTCACAGCATGAATGAACTTGATGTGAACTCATCTCTCATGACCTTCTCTTCACCCTGGTCTAGAGTAGGGAGGCATCTGCTTTCTGTTCCCCCTACCTTAAACATTACAGCATAGAGACTGGTACAAAATTTCTCTGAACTCACTCCCATTCATGCAGGCATACTCAAAACATTTTATCTCACAAATAGGCCAAGGAAAAATATGGTTCCCAGGGGTCGTTAAAGGGTATTGTTGGCCTAGCTGAATATGATGATAGCAGGAAGGAATCAACTCAGTTGCTGCAATTTAGGTTTTTGACAGCTGAAATCTGAGTCCACCCCCCCCCCCTGTTTAAAGTTGTTTTTTCTTTCTTCACATCTCTTTCAAACCACCTGTCTTCTTTGTCCAAAATGTGAACATTCTGGTCCTAAGAAGAAAGTCTTCTGTCCATAGCTGTACAAAGATTGACCTCTTGTCCCGAAGAGGTCAATCTTCTGTGTTGAGCCGTGCGTCTGTGGAGAGGTTGTTTGGTTTCTCCAATACGAAGATCAGAGCTTTCCTCACTGCATCGATCTGCATAAACCGCTCCGCTCATCTTAGGTTTGGGCGTCTTGTCCTTAGGATGCACTAGTCTCCGTTTAGTTGCAATTGAGCAACTAAACCAAATCAGTAAACATATTTTGAACATGAGTCAGCTTTCTCAAAATACATTTTATTTCATCATGTTTTCTCCTATTTAAAACAGGTGTTAGAATACACCAACATATGGCAAAATATGAATAAAGGCGAAAGCAGCTTTAGGTTTTTCAGTTTTTTTTTTCAGCCAACAGGTCAATTTTTTTTTTTTTGCCAATTAATCAAAATGTCTAAAACTCTTCAGCAGTTCATGCAAACTCTTTAATAAAAAAACCTTTAAAGTAGATATGGGAAAAATCCTGTTATCTTGACATAAATGAAAATAAATGGCATCAGCTGATATGCTGATGACTTCACTATTATATTCTGTAATACCTTCCAGGGTTTCCGATTCCAATTGAATGCAGCATCATTCAGAAAACAGATTTTCCAGCAATGCAAACTTGTAAACATGGTGAAAGAAAGCAGATTCCAGTAAATTCTGAAGTTTTAATGTGTTTTGCGGTTACTTTTGGGATGATTTGACACAATCATTGTAAAACATGAATGTCCAGCCATCGGTTTGTCACAATTGGGGTTCTGCAGCAGGACGTTAATCCAAAACACAACAGTAAGTCCAGCTGTAAATACAGCAAAGATAAAAGGGAAACAACAGAAGGAGGGGTTTTGTGTGGCCTAGTCAAAATCTGGACATTTATCCTATTGAGATTACATTAAATGACTTGAAATGTGCTTTAGAAAAAGTCACTGACTAAAAAGATTTCTGCAAAACAGCAGCAGACTGAGCTTTGGTTCAGGTGAGGGTAAGTTTGCTTCCTTTTTTTTAAGATGGAACAAAACAAAAACTTCAAAGAGCAAAAATATTTGTATTTAAGATTCAAATACAAATCATAACCAAAATAATGCTTCATAGATAATAATTCAAAATAACTTATGTTTTCTTTGTACAGTTGATACAGAAACAGGAGATGATGCCGTTTTCTCCTGTTTGGTGTTTCGTCTACTTCCTGATACGTTTCCCACTGCAGGGTCATATTCAAACAGGGACCGTGGGGATTTTTATAAATGACAAACTAAAAGTGCTAACAATGATGTCGCCGGGCAGAATGAAAAAAACAAAAAACAAACATGTCTTTTATATTTACAAAAAAATGTAGAGTTTGATGTAGAAATTAAAAACAACACAGAGGTGAATTGCTCTGAGTCAAGGGAGTTAAAATAACCCTGAGCCAAACATGTAGCGGATGTCTGGTCAGCTGATAAATTAATATTCTAAATATACCAATATGAAACTGCATGGTATAAAAAAAAAAATATCTCCAAAACACCTGATTCTAGGAAACGCTGCACTAAAATTATTCTGCTGTGAGAAAACTGTTTTTCTGTCTAAATTTCACAACCTTCCTGAAGAGAGTCGACAGAAAAAGTTACTAAAACTTAAGGAGCAATAAATAAATATAGTCTAAAAAAAAGAAAGGCAAAATTCATCAACTTTTGTTGAATCTCTAGAGAAGTTGTGCATTTTTTTAGACTTCAGAGGACTTTATCTGACCGGCTTTGATACAAAAAAAATGTACAATGAATTATACTGAACTTCTGAACTTGTATAGTGAAGATACTTTGTAACCAAGGTAGCCTTACTATGTGGAATCATCAAATAAAATCACAGATGTTTGGTTTCCCTCTGAAGGCTACTTAAAGGTAAAATATTTAGCTGAAAGTGTTTCTGCTGCTCCGTCATCCTCAGGAGTCAAAAGCCCCAAAGCCATAAAATACAGTCACAATGACTCGCAGTCATGGTTTGGAAAATTTCCCTGCAGGTTTGGGCCCCTGCCTACTTCCTCTTCCGGCCGCGGCCTCTCCTGGCCCGACCCGAGGAGGGCCCCGCTCCATCAGAGTCCGCCTGGCCGGCCGGGATGTTGATCTGCCCGTCCTGGATTTCGCTGCGAGCTTCGGAGGACAGCTGTTCGATCTTCTGCTGCGTCTCCAGATAAAACATCACGTCTCTGAGCTGCTCCTGCAGCTCGGTTATTACCACGTCCTTTCGGTCCGCTGCAGCAGATAAAAGAAAAGATTAAAAACTGTAGAAAACTATGTTCAAAAAACTAAAACAAGTATATATTTTTTTCCAGTTTCTTCCAGATAAGTGGGAGAAACTGGAAGAAAGTCCTGGTAATAGATCATATTTTGGAGAACTGGAAAGTCAACTCACTATAACCACCAGGCTACATAAGGAGAAACCTTTATGAGAATGTATGTAATGAACATTTAATACTTTTAATAATTTATGAAGTGCATGTAATACAATACATGGGCACAAAACTTGCAAAGTACATGACTCTAAATTCTGAATCTATTACAAAAATGGCAAACAAAAAATAATTAGATGATAAAACCCTTCACCTTCTGTTGACACCACTGTAGCCCGTACTATGAAAATGCTGTGTCATCGGTAGGTACACTTTTATTTATAAGGTCCTTCTTTGATTACTGCGCTCTTACATTTATATCTCACTTACACAGAAAAGCATGGCTTCTTCTGCCCTGAGATCCAATGAATCAGCTGTTGCTCACTGTCCCTTTGCCCTCACAGATATAGGGAAGAAACCTTTAGCTATGCAGCTCCTTGTGCGTGGAATTTTTTACAGAAAAAAATGGAAGTTGACTGAGTTTTTATCATGAAATGCTTTTAAGTTTAAAGTGAAATAATTTGTAATTGAATCTGTAATTGTTTTACTTGATATGTTTTTTATGTGTTTGTCATTTAATTTAATGTATCTCTGTTTAATATGTAACTTTGCTGCCTCTTGGCCAGGACTCCCTTGAAAAATAGGTTTTTTATCCCAATGGGATTTTTTCCTGGTTAAATAAAAATAAAAATTGTTTCTCTCAGCAGTCCTGACTTGGAAACAATTAGGTTATATTACAGGACTAGAGAAAATAAAATATTAATATATCTTTAAAAATATTAATATATTGTCCTTAAGTAGGTTATTACTGGATTTGGGTCTGCTGAAGGCAAAATATTCACCAAAAGAAACAAAACTTTCCAGTAAATTTGAAGAGAGAAAAGAGCCTGGAGTAAACTGTTTCCTAAGACCAGAAAAAAGGAAAAATGCTAAAAAAAAAAAAAAAAAAAAAAAACGCCATCTGAAAGAACTTTCCGACCCTGATTTAAACTTTAAAAAACTGAATTTGTTTGGTATCAGATTGGCTGGTGAACATAACGGGCCCTGAACAGTTCCTAGCCAATCAGAAAGGATAACTGAACAAAACCGAGCACAGAGGCAACTTCACCTTAAAACATCGACACTGAAGAGTGTTAAGAGACAGAAGAACCAAAATGGGATTTTATAACCAAGATGCTTAAATTCTAGAAAGAAAGAGAAAAACAAGAGTACAAAGCTATTTAGAAGGAAAAGGACAAAGAATCTTCTTTCTCAGTAACTCCAACATGTTCTATAAATGAACAGGCTGATATTTTTAGGTATTTAATTCTGTAAAGTATGTTGATTTACAGAAATAAATACGGTACTAGAAAGGATTGTATTAGTGAGGTAATAAATCAGCACCTTTATACATTCTTATATAGATTGGTTTGGACAACGATATATTTTCTGATATCGCAATAAATTGCCGTAAGGATTTGCTTTCCATTAATTACCCAAAAAAGTTTAGATGACGTTACAGCCTTTAAACTTTTTGACTAAAACATTTTTCTCAACAGATATGTGGCTTCATGAGAAGTATGTTCAACACCTGCCAACAGTTCTCAATGGGAAAGCATATACCAATCCTTTGGGATAGGACTATTTCTAGGGCTTCATGACTGTGGAATTGATCTTTTTCTTTTTCTTTTTTCTAAACTGAGATTTGTTTTGTTTTTTCATCAAATTAGAAAAAAACTAAGATCTCACATCTAGGGTTGCCAACTGTCCCTTGAAAAACGCAATTGTTCCGTATTTAGAAATAGAAGTACCTGCAGTACTTAGCGGAAAAGGAACGCACTTTGTCCCGTATTACTGTGAGAGTAAAAAAAATAGTCATTGAAACGCTAATGGAAAATGAAGAACAAGGGCACGTTAGATACAGAACTTACGGTAAACTTGTTCTGCCCTGTCCTGCGTTGTGACCAATGAGCTGACAACATATATGTAAAGATCCAGAATCCCCTCATCCTATTGGTCGAGGCAAGTGTTGCTCACGGAGAAGATAGCGGGAGACAACAGAGCAGTATGGGGGATGTCACTACTGATCCATCCCGGAAGCACCATGCACATCCACCCGGCGCATACATCCGGGTCGTCCTCGATTTTATTTTGTTAAAAATACCTATATGACGTTTTCCCTCCCCAAAAATAGTAAACGTACTAAAATATAATGTGTTAAAGGTTAATGTATTTCCTGAGAAAAAAAAATGCCTTAAAATCCTTTCTGTTTTATCACTCTGTGCCCGATCTGCACCGGAAATGGGATCCTATGCTACTTCAGAGAGCTAACTTTTTCGGCTTTGGATTAAAACATAAATCAAGTCTAGAGTTTTATATTTTCGTTTCGTGTTAAACTTATGTTCTATAGTGCGTAATCTAAAGAAAGAAACAACTAAAATGCAGATAAACATGGTTTAATCATATTTTGCGGACTGCTCTGAGCATCATGATGATGTCAGAGAAGCAGTTTAAGAAGAAAATGTAAAAAGCATAAAAATTGTCTCACAAAATTCATAAAACACTTTTAAAGATGTGTATTAGCATTCTTTAGTGAGTTAAGGATAGAAATAAGTAATTTTAGTACCATAATTACAGTATTTATGGTCACCCAGATCCGTTTGCACATGCGCAGGACGGATCGTGCTTCCAGGACGGATCAGGTAGTGACAGGGGACGAGCCGAGTCATTTAAACGCTGCAAGAGCTCAGAGGAAATACAAGTGGAAAAAGTAGGTTATCACCACATAATGTGTCATTGAGCTAATTACTTTTTTTTTTCTGTTTTACAAATGTAGCCTACAGTACGGAAGAGGATTAGGGCCAGTGGAAAAAAAAAAAGTTAACTGATTTTTTAATTGTATTTCAGTTTAACATAGGAAAAAAGTCAGAATTCTGAATTTTTTCTCAGAATTCTGACTTTTTTTATAGTCAGAATTCAGTCAGAATTCTGAGAAAAAATTCAGAATTCTGACTTTTTTTCCCATGTTAAACTGAAATACAATTAAAAAATCAGTTAACTTTTTTTTTTTTTAGTGGCCCTAATCCTCTTCCGTACTACAGTCATTGCATTCAAGGCACAAATATGTTTAGAAGTTTGCACAAGTTTGCAGTTGCACCAAACATTTGCACCTTTTATTTATTGTTTTATATTCATTTTTACAGTTTGAAGTTAAGCAGGACAGGCTTATGTTTAATATGCTTATTTTATTCAGCAAAGTTTGTTATTTTGTATTAAAGTGAATGCAGGACATTTTGTTTTCCATGTGTTCATGTCACTCACAAATATGCAGATTTGAGTCAAATAGTTAAAAAATAATTTCACACAAAGGGAGGCTAAAATAAAATCACCACGCCAGGAGGGGCAAAGGCAATCGGGTCAGCAGGAACGCACATGAGGTGTCCCCTTTTTTGTTTTTTTCCAGGGAGTTGGCAACCCTACACGCATCGTTACTATGGTAACTAAATAATCAGACTGAGGAGCACTAGCTCAGTGTTATAAACAGCAGAACAGGGCAGGATCAGAGAAAACCCTCAGAGAACTGATCTACAAACCAGCCTAAACATCCAAACGCCACAATCAGAGAAGCTGATGTACATTCATCACAGAGCTGCAGTTTTCCTTCCCTATGGTCAAAAACAACCGGAAAATGATGCTAAGTTTCTCTACAGGGCCTCCCCCCGACCCCCACCCCGCTGACGGTAAGTGATTCGTCTAAAGTGGGAAAGTCTACCCATACGTGTGATGTTGCTCAGCGGGGAGATTTTAGCTGCTTCCTGGTTTGATAAGCAGCCCCTAAGATCAGGAAGTAACGGCCAACGCTGGCAGATCTAGGAAGGAAATGTTTATACAGCCAAATGTAAAATCAACCCTCCGTGGTTAATATTACCAGTCAGCGTTAAAATGTTGAACAAAGAAATGTCACGGAAGATCCACAGGAACTCAACTTAAAGTCACCTCTTAATCTGATATTTTTAAATTAAATAAACCATAAAAAAAAAAAAACTGAAATGACATGAGCCAAAGTAGGGGAGGTCAGGGTCAGTTGCAACATGTAACCTTTCTGCAATCAGAAAGACGCCAACGTGACGCTTATACTGCTCATGCAATAACTGGATTACTCCCCAAAGGAGGAAGAAGAAAAACAAAAAACAGTTTTTCTTTTTTTGTGATTTTGGCTCAAACCTTTGTGGTTTAAATGAGTGATTAGAAACCATAACCTACTTTCATTCGATTAGCCTGTACCAATATCAACTCATTTATCTCACATACAGGGCTTTATCATGGCTGATGAGAGGTAAGACAGAAAGAGCATCTCCAACAGTCCACAAAATAAAATAAAAAAAGAAAGGACAGCATTTTATTTAAGGAGTTTCCTGACAACTTTTTCTTTATATCTAAAATGGTATCGATATTGCAGCTTCCAGTAATTAATAGATATGAGGGGTGCACTGATAGCAGGTTTCCAGCACATCACAGATTGCAGTTCTTTTATATTTTTACTCATTCTGATTTTTATTCATAACTACCACTGTCAGCTGTTAAAGGATCCAAAACACCTTCAATATTTTAATCTCGATTTACTAAAAAACACCAAAAAATAGCCATGAAACAATAAAAACCTCTGAATTTACTGATCCTAGAAAAGCAAAGTTTAGATAATTAACAGCGGGGGATTTTCAGACGGTAACAGAAAGTATCAGTTTCACCTCAACATCCGATATTTTGCCGACATTAAGGAAATCGAGTGCAAAGTGTGAGAAACGACAGAGTTGTGCTTTTTTTTAACCCTAAATAGATCAGCTTAGGTTAAATATGGGTCATTTTCTGCTTATTTAAAAAAACAAAAACAAAAAAAAAACACTTGGTTCTCATGAGTTTATATATAATGTATCAATCCAAGTTTTACAGAATAACTTCATAAAGGACGTCTAATGAGCTTTTCTTCCTCTTAAAGTCGTAGGGAAGCAGCTGTTCCAACTGTTGCATTTCCGAATTCTCCCGACTGGTGCACGACTTTACACGAGTGAATAAAGTGAATGTGATTGGTCGTTTATCAAGAGGGGGGGATTGTTGTGGCGGAAGGTTTGCAAGCATGTTTGGTTGTGGCCGGTTTGTTGGAAGCATCTTGCTAACCAGTTAGCAACTTAGTGCTAGTAGGTTCCCAATGGGAAATTCCATTGGGACCAAGTGGGACTAAATTGGTGACTTAGAAACGACACTGTCAAGGAACGCTATGGACAGAGGAAACATGCAAGAGGGGGAGTTTTTGTGTCAGAGCTTGCGGCAGAAGCTTGGTTTGGTGTAGAAGGCTTCCAGCCGTACATGTTTGAGCCCTTGCCTCGCAGCGCTGCCAGTTCTGTTACGCCTGCTGAAGACACAGACGTCCATCCCTGTGAACACTAGGACGGAAATTATTCTTATTTCTTATTCCAACCGTTGCGTATATTAGCTGCGACATATGAATCAAGATGATATGACTGAAAACATTTGATTGACAGATGACCGCTGATATATGATTGGCTGAATTTAAGTGTTCAGGCTGACGAATAACTAACTGGCCTGCAGAAGCTAACAGAAAAAACCCCACCGATTTTAAGACAGGATTTTTTTTCTCCAATAGAAATGTTCTAACTTTTGGGACAATATAGTCTGATAAAGAGTACATTTATATGCATGTTTAGCCCAGAATAATTTGACATTTAAATATGACTTCCCTACGACTTTAAAGGCAGAATTTAAAGGTTCTTAAAGAGAGAAAAATAAAAACGATCAGTGTTTCGTTTGAGCCAAAAGATAGTTGATGGGAGTTTTGTGTAGTAAATGTATATCTTGCTTTCTTTAGTGTGGTTTTCATACTCTTAAAAGCTAATGGCAGATTTATTCCCTTAACTGAAAGTCTGCTGCCACTCCTGAGTAAAAAATACAGGGTCCTCATTCTTTACATGCTGGTGTAAAAACAAAAACAATAGAAAAACCTTTGAAGCTTTTTGATAAAACCTCAGGAGTTTCAGAAAGAAGCAAACGATATGGAGAGAATACCAAAATAAAGATAAGAATGCAGAAATGTATGAGATGTTTGGCAGAATGACCTCTGACCACAGAAACAGGATCTGAACAAAGAAAGGTCAGAGGGAAAACGGCCTGAAGCTGAAAAACTTTGACATGAATGATGACGGCGCTAATAAGGAACAAAGTTATCACAGAGGATTAGTGCAAAAACACATTTATCTAAAAGCTCCTCGTTACTCAAGGAGAAATGATTCAGAGCTTTTGTTTCTACTTATTCCTCTATGGAGTGAATTTTGTTCAGTTATTTTAGGAAAAAAAAATCATATTTTTTAAATGAAGTAAAAAAAAAAAAGGGTTAAAACTTAAACTTAATTTTTATCAAAAAAAGAAAAAAAGATTTAGATTATTTTTGCTGTTTTGTCAGATTTTGTTCAATTTTCCTCTAAATTTTCGATTGTCAGACAGTTTTACAAATTGCATTCTTTTTAAATAGCCTTTTATAGATTGACATTCTCTTCATTTCTCAGGGAGGGCGTTTCCGTCTGGACTGAGGAGCAAAAACATTCCTATTGTTCAAGAGGAGAGCTCAATACATTTTTTTAACCCAATTTTCTTAATAAAAATGACAGAGTCATCCCCTTTGGGAGGTCATCTAAATTTAAAGGGAAATAAAATTCAAATGTTTCTGGGAAAATGCTTTTTACACAATGTTTTAAACAGATACTGAAAATATGACAAACTGTTTGCAGCTATTGGTGTTACCCAGTCAGCTGTTTATCAGTTTATCTGCAATAATTACACATCTAAGAACACAAACTGATGTCACATGATCACTCCGTCTGTGGAGGAGGGCGTTCAAAAAGCAGGAGTTTCCCAGTGATTCGGCAAAGGTAAAGGGCATTACACAAAAATGTCAGTGGGGAATAAATATTATGGTGCTCTAGTTAAAATTGATTGAAACGCCTTGAGTTAAAAAGAAAATCTTTGAGTTTTTAAATACAGCTTGTAAATACTGTAGCCAATAATGTTATGATTTGACTAAATAACATAACTTATTTTGGTTTGCGGCCTTGGTTTCCTAATTTTTTGTTTTCAGGGAAGAATCTTCTTTTCAGTGCATCCATTAGTGATTGTCCATGAGAGTTTGATAATCAATTTATTAATTCATCGCCCAGTTAAAAGAATGTGCTTAGTGAAAGTAGTTTTGTATCGATGCATCGATCCAACAGCCGACGAACCTTTGCATCGATACGTCCGCAAGAGTATCGATTCATGTTTCCCCTCCGGTCTATTTTTATCCATTTGCTCCTGGACGTAATTCTCCCTCCCGTGCTGCGGTGGCGCTAAACCTATTTTGCCCTCCTACCTCGCTTCCTGGTTATACTCCTGCAGCAGTGAATGAAGTTTTAATAGGGATAGCTGGAGTGCAACTTTTCTACTTCTGTTATTTGCTGTTGTTTCTCAAAAAAAAAAAAAAATGCATAATGACACAACAGCTTTCATTAATGTATTTCAAATTTGAAACATTGTCTAGCCTGTAAGGTGTAAAAAAAATTATTAACCAATTAAATGAATCGAATTGTATCGTGGCGTATTCTTGAGTATAAAAAATAATGGAAGCGTTGGGTCAGGAAATCGATACTGAATCTAATCGCCATGATGGATGTGATTTACACCCCAAAGTGAAACCCCGTTAAAAAGAAAGCAAATCATTAAAAAAAATTAAAATAAAACCTGTAAAAAGTTTTCTTTAAAAAAAATACATTTGAAAAGAATAAATCTGAGAAAAAAAAACATCAGAAAAGCAAAGTTATTCTCAAAACCTTTTTTTTTGTCTTTCAAACATTTTTCAAAGTTTCATTCAAGGGACAAATTGTGTCCTTTAATAATAATGGTACAAAATTCCCTCCGTACTCCTCCTCTATTGTCCACCTACTATTCTTAGCAGTGGTTTGGTGTTTTGCTGTTATTTGCGTCTCATTTGCAAACCTCACCGTGTAAAGAGGAAGTTCTCAGTGACAGCAGAACTCCATCAATGAGCGACTATTTCCATATTCACTCGGTCTGCCATTAAATCATTCCACACATTCCTCTTCTAAACCAGCTCTTGTTTAGTTCTTAGTTTAGCTCAGCTCATCACCACAGGTAAATATAGACAGGTATCCTGCTAAAAGAGCAGCTTATCAAGAACAAACAAGCTGGTTTAAATATATATGTCACTGCATAAGTTCTCCATATTTTAATTATTAAGTTATAAGCCTATAAAGAATCTGTTTGTCTCTCTGCAGGTTATCAGATGTGAATCAGGACCACAGAAGTCGTCCTGTTGACGCCTGGGTCAGGAACTTACCGCTCTCCTTTCCTTTGTGCTCCTCCTCAGCCAGCTGAGCTTGCAGCTGCGCCTGATTGGCTCTCAGACAGCGGTTCATCTCCTGCTCCTCCTTCAGCTCCTGGCTCAGCTTCACCACGCGGCTGTTGAGCTGAGTGCACCTGAAACGGCCCAGTTAAGGATAACTGTGAGTTTAGAAGCTAATCCAGCAGGTCGAACATGAGGAGACGCTTTCCTTTAACTCCATACCAACAGCCAGAGGAACAGTAGATCATACTACCGGTACCTTAATAAGGCGACAAAATAACACAGGCCTGACTACACAACCCTGTTTACATAAAGTACAGAGAAATAATGATCAGGTAAAATAAAAACAACTCTTATGCAGTTTCTAAATAAAGGCTGTTTGTTTGTTGACTCCACATATTTATATCTTTAGTGCACCATTAAAATGTTTATGAGGGGATATTTATTTACAGTAACTTAGCATTAAAATCATGTAGCAGGACATACCAGGTGATTCTGAGTAATTATGAATCAAGCATGTTTATTTTTAACATAACTATCCTCCATTCAGAAGCTCCACAGCAGCTGGTAAAAAGCCATGCTGACGTCAGAGGCGGAAGGAAACATCTAGTCTGGAAATGGGTTTGTTTGGTTGAACTAGGGGTGGGCCATATGACGATTTAAGTTATGATCTACACCTCTGACGATCTGTCATTATTAAGAGACCGTTTTATCAGGATCCACAGAACTGCGGTGCTGCTGTATTTGTACCAAAAACAACCTTCACATCTAGAATATAATCCGAGGGATTAAAAACGTGCAGTTCTTTGCCACCACAAGCGACCTCTGGTCCAGCCGCATTGAGCTTAACCATACATGTCATCAGCAACTGGGATCTATGTAATGCAACACTGCAGACTGCCTATTTTCCTGATCATATCCTCATAGATTGCAGATTACATCTTGACTTGCACTATATTTGCAGTTCCATAATAGTTTCTGTTTCTAAAGACTAGAAATTATACAAATCTATTTTTTTATGTAATATTTTTTTTAAACTCAAGTTAGTTTCTATTTGCTTTCTTTTATCTTTATTAGACCAGTCAAGATTTTAAAGTAATAAAACTGCACTAAGATACAGTTAGAATTTAGTACTGTAGTTACTTGAAAAATGTAACTAATTTGTAATTGTTTTACTCAGGAGTTATTGCATTTTTATACTCCTTGGTGTGTTTATAATATAGAAATAAAAAGAAATAAGTTTGTTAGCACTGCTTTGATTCTCTAATTTTAATAAACTTGTTCATTTATTTAATCTTCTTTGCATATAATTGAAGTTATGTTGGTCGTATCTAAAAAATCGTGGTAAAATCGAGATCACAATAATATAATCAAAAAATCGTGATATTTTATTTTTGCCATATCACCCAGCCCTAGGTTGAACCATCGGCCAGTTTAAGCTCAGCAGAGGGGAGTGATGCTGAGGGACATGGAGGCATCACAGCTTCCAGGTCAGAACCATCCAGAGCAGATACCAGCCTACAGAGTCAGACTCTGAGGATGGCGGCTAATAGACCAAAGCAGCCCTGGTAGAAAACACAAGACTTACTACGCCTCTGGTACACATAGTACAGCCAGTTATTAGTCAATAAGTATAAATTAGTATATAACACTTTAAATGAAAAGGATTTTCAAATAATCCAAGTTTACGAATCAAATTTCCCACTAAGCCTGAACTAATCGCTGTGTCTTCCCCTCACTTTTCAGTTCAGGTTGAGCAGTGTTCAGAGCAACACTTCTCTTTGCATTATCTCTTCAATAAAACCTGTTAAACGTTTTTCTCCTGATCTCTCTGAATTGGTTTCTCTGCATGTGGGTCCGAGGTTTAGATAAAATCATGACATTCATGAAATTATTACATTGAGCATCGATATTAATGTTTGTCTGCACAAAATACTAGAAAATGTCCATATCATGTCATCAACACTGTAAGTGCTGCATTTTAGCTTCCCATTATTCTAACTTTGAGGTCCTGCAGTGAGCAAACAGAGCCAACCCCAAAGAAGCCCCAGCACCCAGAAACATGAGCCCACATGGCACCTACTTCTTCTCTAAGCTCTGCTTCTCTTTGCTTATTTCTCCTAACCGCTGCTCCAGGTTATCACAGCGCTCCAGGGTCTCCTTGAACTTCGCCTTCATGTTGTTGATCTGAGGGTAGAAAGATGGAAAAGAACAGCTCAGACCCAGAACCCAGAACCTGAACGGGAACAGATGCAGAGAGCGTGGCTACCTCCTCGGCCGTCTCTTTCTCCAGATGAACAATCTTGTTCTCCCAGTAGATCCTCTGAGACTCCAGCTGACTGGTCAGCAGGTAGGAGTACTGCAGACAGAGAGAGCGGTGGGATCTTTCTGAACCCATCAGGGGAACTAGAGCTCATTTTAACGGCTTACCTCTAACTGGAGGGCATCTATTTTCTCATCTTGGCAGGTCTCCCCTTCACACTCGAACTGGACCATCTTCCCATCAGTCTTGCTGGCCACCAGGCGGTGCACATAGTTATCTACATGACAACAGTTATACAGATGTCAACAAAGAAGGACAGATCCACACTTTCATCCTGAAATATTCTGTTTTTACAGGTCATCACACCTGCAGATTTATTATTATTTTTTTTGTGTATTTCTTGGGGGTAATTCTTAATCAGGGTTTATACAGGAAGGAGGAATTATAATTTAATGCTTTTTAATGCTCTTTTAGTGCTCTTAGAAAGAAAAAATAATGCCACTAATAAGTACCCATTACTCTCTCTCTATATATATATATATATAAATAAACATGGCCAAATCCTTTGTAATCTTTACCATCAACAGGCTGCAGCCATATCCCGAATTTCTCGTTTTCCAGCCGCTGATGTTAAAATTAGCATTTTTTCCCATTCTCTAGTGTTGGAATAATTATGTATAAGATACTTAATGTTTGTTCTTATGATGTATAATATGCGACATATTACTGTTCCAGAGAGGTGTTGCACAAGCTGTATAGGTCAACTATCAGGAAGTATTGCTCAAGCTTAAAACCAGGAGGTTTTTGGACCATTTGACCGCAAGACATTTAAATGCAAATTGACTTGTTTACTGAGGCTGCAGATTGAATTGTATTCCTTGTTTCCTATTCTTTTAGTGCAACCTCAGCTTGTGTAACTAGGGACCCCCCCTCTGACTTTAATAAATAGCGAGGAGAAAGCTGAAGACTGGCAGAGTGGGTTAGAGATTTGTAAACTCCGCAGTCTCTTCCTACTCTTCTCGCAAATAAAACTAAATTAATTGTCTCTGTGCCTTCTTTCTTTCCCTGTATGTATGTATGATGTTTTAGGTGCTTAGACCTGACATCTAGCTTTTTCTGTGCCTTGAGCTTCTGTTCCGAACATATGGCTTTAGGATCAACCAGGAGCAGTTCCACGCAAACACGTGGAACCAGTTAAATCTGATATATTTAACAATTTTTATTTTCATAAAGCATTTTAAATGCCATGATAATCCCATTTAATGAATCTTAATGCCAATTAAGGCCTTAATTTAAAAAATAATAATTTAATGACTTTTAATGACCCGCAGAAACCCTGTTAATGATCCCACAAAAAAAGGGAATGAAGGATATTTCAAATAAACTTCAGGAAACTAAATCAGTGTTTAGATCTGATCAAGGCGCCTCCACGGCTTCCTGAATCTCTTTTACAGGAATCCCAGTCTTTTGTCGATGAGATGTCGTATTATAAACCAATCTAACTTACTAACATCTATATCAACTCACAGAAGCTTAATAATAATTTCACCTGTTCACTTTCTGACTTGGTAAGGCTGCAGCTAGCGGACCCTAAAGATGATGAGGATCAAGATTTTGTTCTCGTCTTAATAAAAAAAAAAAAAAAATGTTCATCATTTAATTGATACAGAGGAATTGTCAGTAGGCTGTAGGAGAAGGCATCTCTATCCCATCATCATCCAAACGAAGCAGGATGGTAGGAGAGGTGAAAACCATCTCCAAAAACTCAATGTTAGTAAAAATATGGGGTCATCAAATCTCCACAGTGACCAATAGAAGCGATCGACAGCAGAACTAAGGTAAAAATCAAAGCCTTCTCTTCCCTAGCATCAAAAAAGGACCCGTGTCTATTTTGCCAAAATCTACAGAAACGTAAAAAAGAACCCTGAGCTTTACAGCGGCAAACTCCCAAGATGTGTTTGGCATCAACTAAAGAATATTCAATAACACCTCTGAATCCCTGTTAAGTACATTGGAAGACCTGTGATGCTGCAGGCATGTTTTTACCTTGCAACTCTCAAAAATACACCTAGCCAGAAGGCAACAGATGCATTAGTCTCAAAAAAAGAAATGTTTGAAGTAATGACCTGCAATGACGTCAATAATGAGCAGCAGAAGCAGAACAAACATGGCTGCTTCTGTAGTTTCCACTATTCATTCTGTTTTAGCTAAAATAACATTTCTTTCATTAAAAACAAGCACACTGACACAATATGTTCTTTCGATGATGAGAAAGATGTTCGCGCCTTCCTTCCATCCGAATTTGATTACATTAACATTACATTTAGTCGCTCTCATGGAGGACTAAGTGGCTGAAGATGAAAAGCTGGCAGTAATGATGCAAAAGTAGGTGACAGTGATGAAAAAGGTGCTCAGCAGCGATAAGCAGCTGGTATTTGTCAGTCATGGCTGCTCAACTCTAAACGGATAGACGTGTTCAGTGAGATGTACCAGGAAATCATTGGTGGAACTGAATGAAGTGTAAACAACATACAAATGATAAGTAAATATAAAACAGAGCATATGTCACAGCTGCTACTGCTGCTGTGATTGGCTAAGAGCTCGACATGTAAGGAAGGTGCCACTTGGTGTTTTAACCAATCAGCTAAAAGAACTGTACTAAATGTTCCTCTCTTTAGTAAACACTTTCCACTGGAGCCTTTCAAAATAGACACGGTGCAGAATTTAAATGTAAATACATGTATTGATCTGGTTTATGAAACATTAAGTGCTGATTATCCTCCCGCAGCAGTGTGCCGCAGTGAACTGGTCGCAGGATATTTTTGATTTATGCCGAACTTTAAAGCGTGCTCTGTGCTATGTTATTCCACGCCACAACGCAAGAGGGACAATCAGGAACTAGCTGTGGGTCTAAATACGGCCGAGGCGGTGAAAAAGTGGGGGCAACTTTGTGCGACAACGGAAGGACAGGGAAAAAGAGCGGGGATCCAGGTGGAAAAAGGGTCCCAGCATTCTGGTGCACCTCGCTCTTTTAGCTGGTCTATCTTCAGGAGTCTTTTTCCACAATAGCGGTCATACAAACATAACAAGCCGGTAAGGTAGCAAACAGGAAATGCGCAGAGTAGAGTGGATGAAGATTTGACCAATCAGAGGCCTTCTATCTGTGGTCACCTACAATTTCAGAGAAGTGCAGCAGAGTGTCTGTGGAGAGGGCGGGGGCACATCTGCGTTAACTGCGACACATGCGCAGACGACCTGGTCTGTATATAAACCGGCCTTTAGGCCTGTTTCCCATCTAACAGGTCAAGAAATCTTGTAAGAGCTTCATGAAAATCCAATAAAACAATACGATGGACTCATTTACTAAACTGGATTGTTATTGTATCTTTAAAGTCGTAGGGAAGCGGCTGTTCCAACTGTTGCATTTCCGAATTCTCCTGAGTGGTGCCCGACTTCACACGAGTGAATAAAGTGAATGTGATTGGTCGATTATCAAGGGGGCGGGATTGTTGTGGTGGAAGGTTTCGCAAGCAAGTTTGATTGTGGGCGATTTGTTGGAAGCATCTTGCTAACCAGTTAGCAACTTAGTGCTAGTAGGTTCCCAATGGGAAATTCCATTGGGACCAAGTAGCACTAAATTGGTGACTTGATATGATTGGCCCAATTTTATACTGATGTATAACTAACTGGTCTGTATAAGATAACAAAAAATAACAAAAAAACACAGGATTTTTTTTTTTTTTTTTTTTAAACAGAAATGTTCTAAATTTTGGGACGATAATGTCTGATAAAGAGTAAATTTATATACGAGTTTAAGCCAGAATGATTTGACATTTAAAAATGATTTCCCTACAACTTTAAACTAAAGTGGAATCAGTCATTGATGAACTTATCAGCACAGAAATGATTCAGCAGCCTTCCTCAGTCATCAGAACTGAAACCAAAGGAAACGTGTTCTTTTATAGTGAGTAAATAGGATAAATTGATATATAATAGAAGAGAGATAAAAAGTTTCTGACAACAAAAGTCAGGAGAGTTTTTTTTTAATGGCTCAAAAAGAGTTTTAGGAACTTTGCCACTGCTAATTTGTTAAAAAAACAAAGCCGTTTTCAACAAGATTATTTTATTTACCATAAGGATTTTTTTTTTCAAACTGATGGTTGCAAGGGGCGCTCAAAAAATGTAAGGAAAAAAGTGGCAAAAAGTTTTTTTCTCATAATCCTTTATATTTTGCAACAAAATTATCATATATAAGGCGTAATAATATACTAACACTTATCTTAGAGGCCAATTCTGTCATAAAAGATTACCCCATGGTTACAGGGAACTGACATGTTCCCTGTTTGAGGCTCCGATAAAAGGTGAACTCATTTTGGCTTTTAAAAAAAACTACTGCCTTCATCTGTAGGAAATAAACAGTTTCATCAAAATAAATCTGTTTGGATTAATAGTTTATATAAAATGATAAAAAAGCTTCTTCATGTCCTGTGATGTAGAGAATTAACCCCGCTCTTCTACCAAAGTAACTGATCGACCCTCTTTATACGACCAGCCCAGCACTAAAACAAACAACAGGCGGATAATACGCATAGCAGCTGTTGAACCTGATACTTTCCCACTGGTTGCTGGACATTTTGGCGTTAACCTATTTTTCAAGTGAAACGAGAGACATCTAAAGGCCCACGGTTCCTGGACTCAAGCAGCAAAATCTGAAGAGCTGTTAAAACTAAAGAGAAACATAAAACTGGAGTCATCTGCAGTAGAAAAAAAAAGGAAAATATGAGGGAGGAGCAGAAAGATTGCTGTAACATGTGGACAAAGAAGCTACCATAAAAACCATAATAGATTTAATCACGCTTAGTTGCACAAAAACTACAAATCCCACACTTAAACTCATCGCTGACTTTTTCAATGTTTTTTTTCAAAGCAGCATTTGCTAGAAAAAAACAACAACTTCTCCTTCTAACAGGAATCTTTCAAACAGACGGCCAGCCTTTAATTACAAAAACAAAACAATGTCACTTCTTGGAAGCTTATCCCTGCAGGGAAAATGGTTGAGATTTTTTAGAGAAAACAGGTGAATTCATTAAAGACGAGTTCTATTTCATCCCTACTGACCGCCAGAGGCGGTGCTTCAAGCACTGAATGATCATTCTTGCGCATGCGCAGGTCGAGTATTAATGACAACAAAGTCAGCTGTGACCTGCCGGGGACCCACGTGACTCTATATAGTCACGTGGCACCCGGCAATCAATCCCTTTTGTTCTTCTCGCGCGC